AAAAGGTTTGGTTTAAAAGGTTCAGGGAACCATAAATAAGAACAGAAATTATAAAATAAAGACTGAAATATAAACGGAGCCTTGTTGGGATTGAATTTCATCAATTGATAACACATGCATTCTTCTGATCAAATTAAACACAACGCAATCATTCATCTAATATCCTTACGTATCACTCACGATAAAGCTTATCTCTAACGCGGCGTCGAGAGAACAACCGTCTTGTCTCATTGGTGATCTCTCACCCAACAAAATCACAACACAGAGCATTAAGATCTGATACTCACGCAAATGCTAAGCCTAAATCTATCTCTAGCGTTTAGGACCTAACAGGCAATCATCCTAGATCCAAATCCGAAAAGTATATCTCTATCACGATTCAAATCAAAGATTAACAGGTAAACAAGAATGAAACCCATATCAGATAAACAATTGTTTTGCATAAAATACAATGATCAGAATACGTACACACGTTTAACCCTTTTTACATGTATTCATCTAATCCGCCAAATGGTTGTGAACATCATTCTTCATCACTATTATCACATACCCATATAATATCATATTGATCCTACCCATGCTAGCCATGCTACTTAATCAACACAACACCATAAAAGATAAAATGAATATCAACTTCAAAACCATGTCAAAAGTTTGCTCATTGATAGAAGAAAATCTGAGATCAAAGATGTGAAAAGGTTTTGTCAAGACCCACAAATACATAATCAAAGATATTCAATCAATAGAGAATCCAAAATAAGTTCACAAACATATATTAGATGAAATACATAATGTATCAAAAGATTACAATCCAAACCCCAACAAGAGATCGAAGATCTTACCTCCTCCCCCTTGGGGTTTTGTGTTTCTCTCTCTAAAGAAATGAAGAGAGATAAGTTCTGATGTTCCCAAAATGTTACAATACCAAGTTTTCTCCCAAAAATGGAGTTATTACCTAAAAATACAAGAAAATGACTTAAATACCCAATTTGGTTCTGTCACGTTCGCTACAACGAACAACTAGCGAATGTAGCGAATTTTGGCTTCCAGATCTGTACAATTCTGGGCTCGTTCGCTACCTGCTCGCTAAGCGAGCAAGCTAGCGAGCTGTTCGCTGGTCTGCTCGCTAAGCGAGCTAACAACATTTTGCCAATTCTTGAGTGTTGTTTGCATGTTGTCCTGGTTTCCTTGACCATTTTTTCTTGTGTCTTACTTTTTAATTGTTTTGTCCCTAATTCCTGCACAATAGCACACAAATCAAAGGTACCAAGAGATTTTCACACTATATTGCAAACCAAACAAAACAAGAGTGGTTTTCAACACTTAATTGATGAAAGTGAGTGAAAAATGCCAACATTTGATAGATCAAATAAGTGAAATTTGGCATCTAACAACTCGCCCCAACTATCTTTTTGCTTGTCCTCAAGTAAGGTATGCCTCTCATTTCGCAATAAGAGGATTTGCTCAAGACTAATAGTCATCCAAGAATGGATAAAATTGGCTCAAACACAAATGATGCAAACAAGCCACGGTTTCAAATGTTTAGAATCAAACAATGTAAAAGAACTAACTTCTTAAAGCAAATATAAAGCCATGCATCAATCAACAACTATGTTTTTCATGAATGAATCACTCTATCACTTCTCTTCGAATAAGGATTGAAGAAATTAGGCGTTTGCAACCGCGGGGACAATTTCACTCAACTAACAAACAATGCCAATATCAATTCAATTCATACAAAATCTAACAATCAAAAGCGTAAATATGGAAGCAAGAAGATCACTAAGGTCTTTAAGGTTGTAGCTTGGTCGGGTTTACAAACAAGGGACATTTCTAAGGCCATTGAAACGAAATTGCCGATGCAAAAGAAACATTCACCGAACACGTTATGTACACACCTCAACTTCATTCCATTTGTTTTTCGATTGCAAACCTTCCCAACTCTTATTTCACAACTTATTCTTTCACTAGTTTTTTCTTTTCCAAGCAAACATTCTCTTTCTTTTCTTTTTTTTTTCTTTTCTCATATTCACACAACTTTTTTGGTGCTTGCTTGAATTTTTCAAAAGTTGTAACAACCTACTATCTTCTTTTTCATTCGCCCCAACTTAACTTTTACTCAACCCTCAAGTGAATGCTCTTAGCTTTTTATGGCAAAGAAGACAATTAAAACAAATTCAAGGGTTCAAGAAAAATTTTAGAATCTCTCAAAATTAAGAATGAGATTCACATTGTTTAGGCTCAAAGGGGTTAACGAATTCTCTCTACTCACGGGTAAGTTGCATTTGGAACTGTTTGTGCTTAATATAAACAAGTGCCTTGATAATTTCTAATGCTTCCATAAATTCACAATGATAACAAGATAAAGCATGAATCATACGAATCAACAAAGTTTATCAGAAATCCAGCATTTAGTAAATAATGGAAGCTTTCTCACAAATTGTGGTTTTTAGTCCTAAGTGAAACAATCATTCAAAAAAGTTGCCAAAAGAACAAATTTCATTTGCAAAAAGACTTAAGTTCTTAAGCATTCTAAAATTCTAAACAAAGGAAACCATGTACCTTGACAACATTCACTTGTTTTATACTATCATCGCCATCCAAACTCGATCGAAGCTTCATTGAATGCTTTCATACCGATAGCAACCACTCTAGAAGGAGTTTTCGTCATTCCTGAACATACTAGAAAAAACATAAAAAGAAACAAATATATACAATATATACAAAGCTTAAAAATATAGAACCGTTGCAATGCACTTCAAAATCTCAACACCAATCCCCGGCAACGGCGCCATTTTGTTGGTGCGGTAAAGCAGCAAGCAAAAAATATTAAGTACCCAGTTTTGTCGTCTCCATAGGGATTAATGCGATCTGAATGTCGTTTAATGATTTCTACATTTCTAAGCTTAGTTTCAAAAGGTTTGGTTTAAAAGGTTCAGGGAACCATAAATAAGAACAGAAATTATAAAATAAAGACTGAAATATAAACGGAGCCTTGTTGGGATTGGATTTCATCAATTGATAACACATGCATTCTTCTGATCAAATTAAACACAACGTAACCATTCATCTAATATCCTTACGTATCACTCACAATAAAACTTATCTCTAACGCGGCGTCGAGAGAACAACCGTCTTGTCTCATTGGTGATCTCTCACCTAACAAAATCACAACACAGAGCATTAAGATCTGATACTCACGCAAATGCTAAGCCTAAATCTATCTCTAGCGTTTAGGACCTAACAGGCAATCATCCTAGATCCAGATCCGAAAAGTATATCTCTATCACGATTCAAATCAAAGATTAACAGGTAAGCAAGAACGAAACCCATATCAGATAAACAATTGTTTTGCATAAAATACAATGATCAGAATACGTACACATGCTTAACCCTTTTTACATGTATTCATCTAATCCGCCAAATGGTTGTGAACATCATTCTTCATCACTATTATCACATACCCACACAATATCATATTGATCCTACCCATACTAGCCATGCTACTTAATCAACACAACACCATAGAAGATAAAATGAATATCAACTTCAAAACCATGTCAAAAGTTTGTTCATTGATATAAGAAAATCTGAGATCAAAGATGTGAAAAGGTTTTTTTAAGACCCACAAATACATAATATAAGATATTCAATCAATAGAGAATCCAAAATAAGTTCACAAACATATATTAGATGAAATACATAAGGTATCAAAAGATTACAATCCAAACCCCAACAAGAGATCGAAGATCTTACCTCCTCCCTCTTGGGGTTTTGTGTTTCTCTCTCTAAAGAAATGAAGAGAGATAAACTCTGATGTTCCCAAAATGTTACAATACCATGTTTTCTCCCAAAAATGGAGTTATTACCTAAAAATACAAGAAAATGACTTAAATATCCAATTTGGTTCTGTCACGTTCGCTACAGCGAACAACTAGCGAATTTTGGCTTTCAGATCTGTCCAATTTTGGGCTCGTTCGCTACCTGCTCGCTAAGCGAGCAAGCTAGCGAGCTGTTCGCTGGTCTGCTCGCTAAGCGAGCTGACAACATTTTGCCAATTCTTGAGTGTTGTTTGCATGCTGTCCTGGTTTCCTTGACCATTTTTCTCGTCTCTTACTTTTCAATTGTTTTGTGCCTAATTCCTGCACAATAGCACACAAATCAAAGGTAACAAGAGATTTTCACACTATATTGCAAACCAAACAAAACAAGAGTGGTTTTCAACACTTAATTGACGAAAGTGAGTGCAAAATATCAACATTTAATAGATCAAATAAGTGAAATTTGACATCTAACACATATTATTTTATAAACTCTCATATTAATTTTATTAGGAGATAAGCTATTGAAATTGTTCATGTTTTTTTAAGCAAAGATGGCTTCATCTCTAACTAATTTTCAAATTTTTATTGATATTCTAACACGTATTTAACCGTTTTTTATTAATGATATGAATTAAGTGTAAAAGAAACACCTGCGCTGGAAATGTTAACCGTTTTTTTATTAATGATATGAATTAAGTGTAAAAGAAACACCTGCGCTGGAAATGAAACATTTTGTATGTTTAATAATTTATTAATTTAGTGACAGAAGGAAAACAATGAAAGAGACAAAAGTGTTTTAGATTTTGGTTTGTGTAAGCAACCACATATGATTCATTAATTGGACGATTCAAACTAGGAATAAATTCACCATTTCCACCCAATTAAAATCATGCGATAGAAACAAAGTAAAATATTATGCTTACTTTTATTCATCCATTCCCGCTAAATATTGATTATTTAATTTGTTCGGTAGGAGTTGCAAAGCAAGCATGCAATATGGAAATTCATTTAAATTATTTAACTGGACTTTTGTTTATTCATGAATCGCTCTATTCGTTCGATGGTATCATGATGAGTGCTATAAATACCTTGCCTAGCAATCAAAAGCAAAAACACAAAACGCCTAAGTTTTCTTGCATATAACCTTAGAGTGTGAGTCAGTAAGATTAATCCATAATGTCAAATAGAGTCCTCACCGTAGTCATCCTTGCTCATGTGTGGCTTTTGATGGCTACAACATCAATAGCCCAAATTGTGATTGACACGAGTGGCGACGCAGTTGAGGACGATGAGGAATACTTCATCAGGCCTGCTATCACAGGTAATGGAGGAGGTTCAACATTGATCACCGGAAATGCGCCATGCCCTCTGCAAGTTGGTCTTGTCACCACTGACTTGGGACATGGTTTGCCGGTTGTATTCACACCTTTTGTCTCCCGTGATGATGAGGACGACATTCTTCTTGACCGAGACTTGAGAGTAACATTCGTAGCTTCCTCAACTTGCGCGCAGTCAACATCATGGAGAGTGGGTGAGAAAGATGCTACGAGTGGAAGGAGGCTGATTATAACCGGAAGGGATGACAGTACAGTTGGATCATATGGTAACTTTTTTAGGATTGTGCCAACACAAACTAGAGGCATCTATAACATCCAATGGTGCCCTGCAGAGGTATGCCCCAGTTGTAAGTTTGAATGTGGGACAGTTGGTGTTATTCGTGAGAATGGCAAGATTCTGTTGGCCTTGGATGGTGGTGCACTCCCTCTTGTTTTCCAGAAAGAATGATTATTAGTAGGACGCTGAAGTTTATTTCTGTCGTGTGTTTACGTATATACATTTGCTTTTGAATAAATATTGAACATGTATTATATATCATGGAATAAAGGCTGATTTGCGTATTTCATTACAAAGTTGGATTCAGTATATTTTATTTATAGTCATCTTGTAATGATAGTCCTATTTCAAATCAAACACACAAAAAAAAAAAAGTTATATTTAGTGACAGATTACAAAGGTGTGTTTCATGATGATTCTTCCTCTTGATATTAAAAAAAAAACCTATTCTAGTATGGAAGAAGAAATTCGGTAAAATGTTGATAGACGTTGCCGTAGAAGCTCTCCAGTGTGGCGGCATGAGTTTTTAACTAAAGAAAAATAGGGTGTATTTGTAAGGTTAACACTCCAACGTTTAATTCTATAGATCAGAGAGATTTGACTTATAGGAATTAGTCGAAAGTACATGTTACGACTCGTAAATTATTGAGAGAGAATACAACGGTGTAAAGGAAGGTGAATAGACCTCCCAAATAAAATTTGACCGATTTTAAAAATAATTTAGATTTAAAAACTTATCAAAGTTTGAAAACAGTTTGCGTAGAGGAAGTAAAATGCGTAAGAGATTGATTATGACTATCAGACAGTTCAGTATATACACAAAACTCCTTAATCGATATACAAAGATGACGTATTGAATCAAATATCTAACCAAAAACAATCATTAAGTGTATTAAATTAAAGATGACGTATTGAATCAAATATCTAACCAAAAACAATCATGAAGTATATTAAAATTAATATCAAGACGTGTAAATATACAAAGTCAATACAATCTAAAATTCTGGTATCATACTTTTTAGCCTTATCAACAATAAGATGTTTCGTAGTGTCAATCACCTACTTAAATGATAAATCATTATCAAGGCAATAACCTAAAAATATATAATTTTAGGAAATTTTTCTCCTTTAGGAGTGAAATAAGATGGCATTTTTATTTCTTCGGTTGTATGACTTGAATAATCACTATTAATATCATCTTTTGAATTTAAGTTGTCAAACATATTTATATCACAATTTAACTTTTCGACCTTTGATACTCAAATTCTTTTTTGTCCTTTGATGTTTGTGAAATGCATATTTTGAGGAAACATATTTCTCTCTCTTTTTTTCGTTCACAATGCTTTTTATAAAAATGTGAGGGACGATACCCTTGTTTGCTTTCATGATTTTTTTTAAATAAAATAGAACATAGCAATATACTCGTCTTTATTACAGTAATTGTATTTTAAGATTTTTCATTTAGATGTTGGTTGGTCATTGCAAATATTACTAAAGGTTTTACTATTGTTCTTAAGTTCATAATCAAAACTAGTCTTATTGTAAGATGTGATTTGGTTAGCTAACAAAAGATTCTAGTTGTCTTTTCCTTTAGTGAATTTATCAAGTTTATTTTGAAGATCATCAATTTTATTTTTTAAAATGTCACATTGATCACACTTGATATATTCATCTAAGACTTTGTGAGAAGAGGAATTTTAAATCAAATCATATAATCTCTCTTTAAGACTTTCTATTTCTTCTAATATGTTTTTATTTTTCAATTCGAGTAAAGAAATAATATCTTTGGAGATAGAGATAATTTATTATAATTTACTTGTTTCTTGAGTTAGCATTTTACATATGCTAAACGAATCTTGATAAAATAAATAAGAATTATTTCATATTATTCATGATTTATCATGAGAGACTTGTTTGTCTTCTTCCTTGTCATAGAATTTCACGTCATTATCATCTCAAGATATTTAGACTTTCTTAACTTCTTTTTGCGGTTTTTTTTCGGATCTTTCAAATTTTAATTAAGGGTAGTTTGGTCTTATGGTCATTTCTTTATGCTTGACAACATGTTGGAACAAAATAGTATTTTTCATCATTTTGTAGTGATGGGAAACAAACTCTAATCCGTATTTGTTTTTTTACCTTTACCATCAGTTTTCGGATTTTTACCAACAAATTTTTACTATTGGTAAATGACAAATTTTTTGTAGTTGGTAAACTTCTAGTAGTGAAGGAGAACTCTTATATGTCATATTTCTATATCGGACATTCACTATTAGAAATATTCAATTTTCCTGCGTATTTACCTGCGGATTTTACAAACTTTCCGTAGAAAACGTATTACCTGCTATTTTCTGTTCCAAGCTAAAACCTCGTGGGTATTTTAATTAGCAGGCAAAGTCGCAGGAAAAAGTCGCAGGTAAAATTGCGAGTAGTTTCTCTCTCAGGTTTTTAATTTTTATCATTAATTGTGTTTAATGCATATTTAAAATATTATAATAATTGTTAAATATCAAAGTAACAATAATATAAAAATAAAAAGCTAATTTAATTTCTTAATATTTTTTATTATAGAAATAGTTGATTCATAAAAAAGTTAATGTATTTTTTTCTCTAAAATAATATTTACATAAGTGTGCAAATATGTTTAAGTAATATTACTCCCAAAAGTTGAGTTTATAATAGGCTCCTTTGGTTTATGTCCTATAACACTTGAATACATTACGTGTAAGGAACAATGATCATATCCAACTAGTGATTTAAAACAAAGCAACAATATAGTAAACTTGGCAAATAATCAAATGGTAGATAGAATGGGTAAAACTTTTGAGATGAACTTTCATTTCTCAAAGGGGTCACGTGAACAAAGGATTCCTAAAGTTGAAAGCATGTAAGAGAACCATCTTGTTGATCATACTATTAAGAGAATATTCAATTTCCAATAAAGTCTAATTGTTGATACTACTATTAGTAAGAGAATAAATCAATTCCCAATAAAGCATAACACTGTTTTTACTTCAACCTTAAGTAACCATAGAATCAAATCTACAAGGCACATTCATATGAACATTCTGAATGGTTGGCTATAATGTTACACATGCAACCATAACAGACACAGAAAGCAATCCTAAAACCATTACACAGAAGAAAACATAAAACTGAAATTGGATAGCTAAATCAAAGCATCAACCATTGAGCAATTAAGAAAGCGACCAACTTTAGCAATGGAAAACCCGATTATTCGAGATGTCGCGGCAGAATCATCCTTTGCTCTGGCCAGATTCTCTTTGTTAAGAGTCTCTTTCTCACATACTGCTTTCAGCTTCTCAGTCAATTCCTTCTTCAGCGCTTCAAATTCTTCCAACTCAAGCTCAGACTGTTCCACAAGCTTCCTATTCTTAGCTACTTTAGTGTTGACAAAATGCATACTACTTATAAATGCTTGATAAGAATATTTTAAGAAAAATTCTATCATGGTATAACAGGGAAACTTGTTAAAGGGATTACTTAGATAAAGAGTCAGGGATATTATAAAGACAAACATTTTTATCTTAACTTCATAATCTGGGTATTGGCCAAGTGCATCAAGGAGACAATGAGTTGCAAGCTTTGCAATCCAACGTGCAACAACAACCATTCCACATGTGCATATCCTAAAACCAAGTCACTAACTCCCCCTATGAACTATAGTGTGATGAAATGGTACCACAATTCCTGTAACAGCTGTTAGAGTATCCTTGATACTATGTGTGCCACGAATAAACAATAAAAGACACCTCATCTTGTGATCAACTATGATTGTAAAAGCTGGTTTCAAAATCTGCATGACAAATAACAGACAAGTTTACACATATATTGCTAATGCTTTTACAAAAAAAATATTGCGTGCCTGAGACTCGGAATTATCAATTTGTGCTGACTGTGTTTCCAACATTGGGGGCATGAAACCTAAATTGTAGTTTGGTGAAGTATGCACCACTAGGTATTCATTACCTTCAGATGGCATAGTTGTTCAATATTTGTTTATCAGTTAATATCAATCAGATCATCTTCAAAGTTTTCACAATTTAAACACCCTGTACTATTGGAAAATGTAACGAGGTTACTTTAATTGTATTTGTCATACCTGTTCAATGGTTGTATGATAACCGGCAAGGGCAGATTTGCAGGCGTCTCGAACCGCTTTGCATAGTAGCTCTTCATTATCACGGCTGCCAAACAACTCAAGATGACCCCATATGGTGTCTCTGAACAATGATTCCAATAAGAAAGTGTTGATACCTCCTAGCGCAACTAGTCTCAGATATGGAAGCAATCCAGGTGGAAGAGTGCGATTATAGAAGGGTCTGACTCAGATATCTCCAGTGTCAAAGTGTATGCATGTCGACTTTCATTCGGTTCAATGAAACCGTAGTCTAGAGCCAACTCTGCATTGCTTTTGTTCAAATCATATTTGATATATACCTGTGTAAAAGTTGCTTCCATTGTTATGTGTAAACAATATTATGATCGAAAGTTATGTTATCATATGCTCGGTTATCAACGCGACCACAAAAGAAAGTTCACCTATTCTCCGACCTTGACAGAAAGGGGGCTTTTTAAGGAAAATAGGTAATCCCAAGAGAAAAGACCAGCTGCTCCTTTAACTTCATAAGCATGATCCTCTGTAGTAACTCTGACACTGGTTAATCTGATCCAGAAATCCAATTTTCAAAATGTCATTTTTCTTTTCTGTTGAAGGATATTGATAGAAGAAGAGAAAATGAAAAGATTCTTACCAAGTCTGCCATTGGAACTATAACCAGATTTTCATTGTGAAGTCGAGAAAACGCCCTTGATCTGAGCATTCCAAAGGCCCAAAAGAAGTCATCCAGCATCACAGGATCGGGAAAAAGTCGCTTATTAGGGAGAATGATTTCTTGTTCTAGTTTCAAACATTCATTCTTCACATATTCTTTCATAGACATTGTTGTTTTCAAAAGTTGAGTACCTAATCAAATACATTTGTTCAAATTTCAGTTTCATAATACTTATCTTATCTGAATCTATAAAAGAACATTCACGAAAATTGCAGGACTAACAAACCTTGAAGCTCTTGGAGCTCTTATTCTGACCTGCATTGGAATAACCAATTACCAACTGAATCAACCATATAAAGAGAATCCATATTCATA